CAGACCATGTGCAAACTCCATTGGTGTTATCAGACACTCAAAAAAGCCATCCCCCAAGTTCCTCATTAAATGGCAAAGTGTACTTGTGTGTGAGGTGGTGGTAACACATTAACCAACCCCAAATTTCCTTCTTTTTCACTCTGGCATCTGGATTTCAAATGGAGTTCCCTTGTTCTGGCAATGAGCAGTACCAGGGAGAACGTGTGTAGGCCAGGAAGGGTGTGTGTACACGGGGTGCAGCTTCACAAGGGCATCAGCTAAACTTGGGATAACGGGGCTTTTGGCAATGAGCAACACAAGTACAGCCTCTGACAAACTCTCTGAGCTAAATGGACAACAGTCTTGCCACATCCACAAGAAGTGCCCATTTGACACATGAAGCAGAGCTGTGAGATGTCAGAGGAGCTCTGGAGATGAACTTTCTATGTGGGCAGAAATGCAAATTTTCACCCAGAATAAACTGAAGCTCTTGACATGAGTCTGAACAGCACCAATCCTTCTGGACTTCAGGGTAGAACCATCCTAACTGCTCAGAAAAACAGTTCTGCACTGAGTTACACGAAGTGGACAAGATTTGATTCAGGAGTGGTTTGGGTTTTTAGAGGTGTTGGCTCTATCTGTCCCCCTCCTTCTGTAGCTACCCATTGAGGAAGCTTCTTGTGAAAACAGCCACGTTTCTGAAGAGGATAAATCTGCCTGGTTTTCACTTGGTCCAGTAAAACACAGACTTATGTAAAACATGTGAACCAATCAAAAGAACGATTTCCTGAAACTACCAGTAACGTGAAGAGAACCAGTGGCTGCTAAATAATGAAGTTTCTGCTTTCTGTGACTGAAAACAAACAAACAAACAAATCTCTATTTTGAACTATTAGTTTGAAATAACTGATTCAGACAAGGTGGGTGTATACACTGTGCCAAGTTCTGAGAGCATCAAAACCAGAACAAACTGTCTTTGTACTAACAATAACAACTAGATCAATTCCCATGGAGAGAAAAGTTCCCCCAAGGCAGCCTTGAGTATCTTTTCTGTTTTGTCTGTAACCTGAAGAGCTGTGGGGTGTTGGGTGGTGGGGAGCCCTGTCTGTGGCCAGCCCCTGTGTGCACTGCAGGTGATTCCCACCACCCAGGACACTGCTCCACAAAGCCAGCATGGCAGCCTGTCATCCAGGAACCAGCACAAAATGCTGCTTTTCTTGGGATGCCACAATGACTGAAATTCGGTGTTTCTAAATGAAAAGGCCTTTCCTCTTTTGCAATATTTGTCAGAATATCAGGCTGTGCTCCTCCAGATTTACTGTAGTGGAAGCACATCCTCAGGAAAGAGCAGCATTGAAGAAACTGGTGCCAAGATTGATATGTGTCAGTGTGTTGAACAAGTCCTGCACCACTCACCACCCAGACTGCTGGAGAACTGTCAGCACCTGTGGGGGACAACACCCAGCAAAGTGCTTAATTCTTATTTTACTGGCTTTACTTCAGCTGTTTAATGCTCCTGACAGTGCACCACATACCTGCTAAGGAGGGTTATGGCACTGCAATGCCCTTCTGGACAGTGACTGTGGTAGTACAGCAATTCCTAAAGCTTTAAGAAGGGAACTATTCACACCTCATTCAGCTGCTGGAGCCTCAGCCTTTACCTGCTGCTACTCATGTTTTCTACCAAAGTTAGCAGGACTCGCCACTGCTCCTGACATCAGCAGTACCACGTCAGTACATCCCAAGCCTCAACTAGAATGTCCTGTCCCAGCCTACCAGCAGAAACTCGCTGTCACAGAGCTCCCAGCCTCAGCAAAGCTGTAGGATCAGGTCCTCAGGTAAGTAATGGGTTAAAGAATAAGAGCTCTGATAATGGAGAGAAGTTCACTGAAAAAAAAATTGAAGTGGTTTCAGCTGATTTTAATCCACTGAGGGCACAGTGGTGTTCTTTTAGATTGAAGGTGCAAGGGAGGGAATCAATCTTCCAAGCAGCAGAGACAAATCAGTTGAGATCGTTTCAGAGTGAAGCCAGTGCACGGTGACAGCCAGCAGTGTGAGAGGGCACAAGACTCCTGCACTTCCCTGAGTGCTACACAGGGTGGGGGAATCACACGCTCCAGAACAACCTGGATTCACTTGCCTTTAGACTCACAGCCACAGCTCCAGGCTCAGGAGAAGCCAAAGGGTGCTCCTTTCTGGCCACGCAGCAATCCCAGCTTGCCCTGCCTTGGGATTAACACCTCGCCCCACACTTCATTTCTGCCCGTATCTCTCATGCATTATCCTTAACAAGCTACATTGCTAAAATCCCATGGCTTTGGCGGTGCTGGCAGTTTTAGGAAAAACACAGGCTGCTCGTTCTTTTTGCTTAACACTCCTGTCATCTTCCTCCCCACAACTCCACCCTCCTCTCTGCACGTCCTGAGCTCCTCTTTTGCACAACTTTGCTACCAAAGCAGCTCCCTGTTTCACAGCCTGTGCAAATGCAATACCTGTGATTCTTCCCCCAGACCTGTGTACCTTTGTGTGACTGCCTACATTTACAGTTGTGAGATGGGAAATAAACAAGCTACCAACTTCAGTCTTGTCTAATTCTGTAATCCTCCCATGAAACTCTACTGAGTCTACAGCATCAGCCTTTTTATCTGCCATAATCACGTGTAACAGCATTCTGCTCAGAAGTTCCTGCTATCTTTCCACACCTGCTTCTTCCTCTTTTCTCACAAGCAGCAGCCTGCCAACCCATGACTTGGGCTTGATGGTAATTTGTGGCTTTTTTTCTTTAACCTCCAGCAACCTGCAACAATATGCTTGCTGTCCAAATCCCACCATCCAGACAAACCTTACCCCAGCTACGCCACATGAGCATTTGTGAGCTGGGAAGTTCACGTGATTACAGTTCTTACAAGGCTGCAAAAGCAAAACTGAGGGAAGGTGTGATCCTCTCCCTCTTTCTGAAGCATCAATTTGTCCATGTGTTACACCTTGCTTGCCCAGGAAAGAAAAAGCTATTGTAAAACACTATAAAGGAGATAATTATAATCCAAAAATGCAGGTCCAGCTGCAGTAATTCAAGCTGACAGCTGAGCTGTTCAGTGCTAAATTATCAAGTTTTTGTTGGAAATGTCTTTTAGTCCACCAGCAAGGACTACAGCTGTGGGTAGCTATGGGTTACTTGTACCCACAGAGTGTCCCTGGTGGTGCAGTGGCTAAACCACAGCGTTATCAACGCTGAGATCTGGGTTCGAATCCCGGTTAGGACACTCCCCGGGCAGATGGAGCTCGCTAGCCCTGTAAGGCAATCCATCTACGTCCTGAGGACCTCGCTGCCACCGTCCAAGCGTGCTTGGCCCCGGCAGATGAACCTCAGGATTA